CCCCAAAACCCCAAAACCCCAAAACCCCACAGCTGTTTGAAAAATAAACATCAAAACTTTGTAAATTTAAAATAAAATCAATATGAAAAGACTCTTGCAAAATTTAGAATAACAACCCTCAGGCCAGCAGTTCTAAAGGCCTCCTTTATCAAGGCCTGGATAGTAATAAAAACCAGCTATTTAGATATCAAAAGTTGGGTAAGGGGCTGCTAATCCAAACTCTAGAATCAGAAGATAAAACTCTCACCTTGGCCAAATAGCTAAGAATATAATGAGTGGAAACAGTATAATTGATTAAGATGCCTAGAAATTCAATATTCAAGCAATAAAGGAAAATTTAATAATTGGAAGTAATTTACATTAAAGATAAAGCCACTCTTAAAACAGAAACAATTATGGGAATAATATAAGAGGATAATAATCCAAAGAGATAGATTTCTCAGGCTGGAAAAAATCTACTTCTAGTAATCTTTCATAGAGGTAATTGAACAGAAAACCATCAAATAAGGGAATAAATGATGATATAGATTTAAATCTAGATTAAAAGCAATAGCAAAACTATCCAAAGCCTCAAGCCCCTGTGCAGCAACTTGGAATTGATACTCTTAATGATTACATGAAAAAATAAGCTAAAATTTAGAATAAAAACAGTCAAGCTTTCAATCCATTTTTAAAGTAGCAATAACCTTAATAGTAATCTTAGACATATTATGGTTAAAATGATTATAACTAGAATATTCAGGAGGATTTGTTCGAAGATTATGAGAGTCAATAGGAATTTCAAATGTTCTAAAACTAGCATCAAATGAATGAAAATATAAATTATTCCAATCCCCATGAGCAATAGTATCAACCCTAATATTAGCCTTAGAAAAGAAATCTTCCACCAAAGAATGTAGCAGGAACTGGATCATAATCTGAGAGAGAAGTCTTTTTCAAGAAACTAAGAGAGGCTGCCTAACATATAAATCAAAATTGAAGAAAAATTGATAATGTCATTAATATTAGGATCGATTTTGATAATTGAATTATAATTATTAAATAAACTTTGAAACTTCTATAATGCCTCACGGGGTTTTGGGGTTTTGGGGTTTTGGGGTTTTGGGG